TTATGAAAATCGGACAATTCTATAAAAAGTTATAGCGTTTTTAGTAGTAAATTTTCGATATATGGATTTATTGAAGAAACTGGTTCCAAAATTATTTTTTTTCCCACTAAAATTGTTATAACTTTGTCAAATCTTATCCAAATGTCTATACCTTGGCATCAAAAGATAGATGTAAGAGTAGGCTACAAGTTTATATAACTCTATAGATGAAAGGGGCGTCTAGAGGACCGGAGGGGGTACGGAACACCCTCGTACCCTTAAAAAAAGACAAGTTTTTCACACGAAAGAGTGTTTTTCTGATAAAATATGTCATCTTTATACACAAAAAATTGTTCCAATTTGCTTCCAATCCATTTCCAAATATTAGTGGTCTATTTTAGATTGAAGTGTTGATGTCTTTGTTACGTTTTAACACCCTCGTAGTGAAATGCTACATTGTTATAAATATTTGAACCTAAAAAACAATGATTATATTTTGTATGAAAAATTTTAAATTAAATTTTCTTACTTTACAGCATATACAAGTGGTGTATAAGTTGACATAAGGGACGGGACATGTGCCACGCCAAACGCCCCCCTTCCTGCCCAGTCGTATCCAACCTAAAAAAAAAATTTTAAAAGATATTTGAAAAATAGTTTTAAATTAAGTTTATTGGAAAAGAGAAACAAGTATTCAAGATTATTATAATATGTTAGTACAGGTAGGAATGTGTGCTACACCCAACGCCCCCCTCCCCTTCTCATTCAAACTTGCAAAAAATGTCAATAAAGTAGTCTTGATAGGTTAGCTCTAAATGACAATGATTTGTTAATAGATTAGTACTGAATGGCATTATGTAAAATTTAATATAAAACAATTAATTGAAAAAGTGATAGGCTGAATAAATAATATGAACAACGTATTAATCAATTATAACTTAAACAATATTAATGAGAGTAATAATTTCATTCTGCTGCACTTTGAGGGATAACACAATACTAATGCATTAAATAGTGTATATAAATATAAACATAAATTCAATAATCATTAAGAAACATTTTTAAATCATAAATTTATCAGCAGAAGGTTGAATACCTGGAACTAAAGATAAAAAAAGTTTCTATAAAAATTTGCAATTGATAAGAAAGGTGTGTAAATGTTTGCAAATAATAGTTTTTAAACTTACGAGTCATAGAAGCCGCAGAAGATGTAACTAAAGATTATCAAAGTTGTGATTAAAAATAAATACTGTAATTGCCAAGATATGCATAAACATATTAAAAAGTAGAAACTTGTAAACATACCACAAATAGCAGATGTAGAAGGAACTAAGGTTAAAAATGATTTAATAAAAAATTTTTATTGCATTCATCAGGAATATATATACACATATTAAGAAGTAATAATTGTTAAACTTACCATTCGTTGAACACGTAAATGTAGCTAAAATTCAAAATTTGTAATAAAAAATAAATATTGCAAATAATGACTTTGAAACTGGTAATCTTTGAAATCTGTTCACAGATCAAGAAGTACTAGCTGATTCTATAATTATTAGCATATACAAACTAATACAAACTCACCTGTGATAGGCTGTGTAGATTCGACTAAAAATAAAAATAAAAATTGTACACAAAATAATTTGAAACTGTCAACAAATGTTAATGTAGTTACAAATGTAACAGTAGTCAATTCTGTGCTGCTTTAAAATGTAATATAAAACAATTAATTGTAAAAGTGATAGGCTTAATAAATAACATGAACAACGTATTAATCAATGATAGCGTAAAAAATGTTCATGAGAGTAATAATTTTATTTTACTGCACTTTGAGGGATAACACAATACTAATGCATTAAATAGTGTATACAAGTATAAACATAAATTAAAAAATCATTTAAAAACATTTTTAAATCATAAATTTACCAGCAGGAGGTTGAACACATGGAACTAAAAATAAAAAAAGTTTCTATAAAAATTTGCAATTGATAAGAAAGGTGAGTAAACATTTGCAAATAATAGTTTATAAACTTACTAGTTATAGTGGGTGCTGAAGATGTAACTAAATATTATCAAAGTTGTAATTAAAAATAATTACTGAAATTGCCAAGATATGTATAAACATTTTGAAAAGTAAAAATTAGTTAACATACCCCTTATAGCAGATGTAGAAGGAACTAAGGTTAAGAATTATTTAATAAAAAATTTATACTGCAGTCATCAAAAATATATACACATATTAAAAAGTAATAATTGTTAAATTTACCATTTGTTGAAGTCAAAGATGTAACTTAAATTCAAAATTTGTAATAAGAAACAAATATTGCAAATAAGGACTTTGAAATGGGTAATCTTTCAAATTTATTTACAGAATAAAAAGTACTAGCTAATTCTATAATCATTAGCAAATACAAACTGATAAAATCTTACCAGTGATGGGCTGTGTAGATTCGACTAAAAATAACAAAAACTTTGTGCACAAAATAATTTAAAATTGTCAACAGTAAGTTACAAATGTTAAAAGCTGTACTAAAGTTAAAAGATTTTCTACTTAAGATGCAACAACTATACTAAAAAAATGAAAATAAACAACTAAATATAACTATTAAAATATAAAGATAATATATTTATAAGCAACAAGTTAACATTAGGAATGGTTATAAACTTATGTAAACAATAAACACATAAAAAGATGATATACAATAAGTAAAAAAATTAACTCTAGTTTTTTTAAGAATTACTATAGATAGGAAGATATAATAAATGTTTATTAATATTTACTTATTGTATACTTTATCTCTTAGTGAATATTAAATTTAAACTTTATGTGATTTATACTTACGAAACCTCAAAAAATCAACAAAAAGCTGGGCAGGATCTAAACAAGAAATAAATATTAGACATGCTTGTATAATGATTTAAACACTAATCCATAGATAAAGAAGTATATAATCCAAATATGATAAAAGACAATAATAATGATATCTTTTGTTATATTTTAAAAACAATAAGAAGCTTTTTGTTAAGATTAACGTAATGAAGTATGTAATAAAATTGTTTATATGTAATGTTTTAATAAATTGTCAACTGAATCTAACAAGTGACAATCAGTTTTAATAGGCTATTATAAACCACATATAAATGAGTAAATTACATACTGCATTAGTGTAAGCCTAACAAAAAAAATTTTTAGTGTTTAAAAAAATTAAAACTGTGACTATGAATTATTCAATGAATACCAACAGTTTTAATCTTAAACATTAATCTTTTTTAATATGTTACATAAAAAACAATGAAGGTTTTACATTAATCATTATTTTTTGGAGTTAAAAAGTTATTAATACTATTATTAAGAATAAAAAAAAATTAAACTTACTTTCTGTTAGGGCATCTAACACACTCTTGCTATATGTTGCCATATTTTTTTAAATCTAATAATATATATCACAATAATTCAAAATAAGATTTTTAGTTGAAACCCCCCCTTATCCGGATTTCGGCGCCTACCGGATTTTGCTTACCAAAAAAAAAAACAAAAAAAAAATCGAAATTAGGTACCTAAAGTCCAACACTAATTAGACTAATTGCTTATAATTATTTTTCGTTGAAATTTGGCATGTTCATAGAAAATGCATGAAAAAAACTATTTTAATAATAAAAAAAGCAGACTCTACATTTCTTTAACTACAAATCTATGTTACAACATCAGCCAAATTTCCATGCAAAATTCTCAGCAAAATACTCCATAAAAAGGTATGTTAGCAATACACAATAGTTTATATAAATCAAGCCAAATCTTTCTTCTTTCAAAAGTCGTCAAGGTTAATATATGTTTCTAAAAATAACCACCTCAAAAAACCGTTTGCCTAGGGCTACCTGAAAAAAGTGGTATACTTGGTATAACACTAATTAGACTAATTGCTTATCATTATTTTTTGTTGAAATTTGGCATGTGCATAGAAAATGCATGAAACAAGCTATTTTAATAATAAAAAAAGCAGACTCTACATTTCTTTGACCACAAATTCATGAGAGAACATCAACCTAATATTCAGGAGCAAAATATTCCATAATAAAATTTAGTAACCATACATAAAAGTATTTCAAAAATTAAGATTAACTTTTCTTCTTTCCAAAAAGTATCTATGTCTATATATGTTTCTAAAAAGAAACTACTTAAAACTACGTCTGCCTCACGCTGCATAAAAAAGAGTGAAAAAAACGAGAACCAAAATTTTAGCATAAAAATCGGTTCCGTAAATCGCGATTTCCGCGTACCTATATATATATATATATAAATATATATATATATATATATATATATATATATATATATATATATATATATATATATATATATATATATATATATATATATATATATATATATATATATATGAGTGTTAATTAAGAACTGATATCTATAAAAATAACTATATAAGATTTATTGTAGATAATAATATTATTATATTAACTTCCTAAAATATTACTTCTTCAACCCTCAGTTCTTTTCCTTTTTTGCACCCATATGCACAACACTCTGAACCTCAGGGATCTTTTTTTAATCCGCACATTATTGTATATTCAACTTAGCTGAAATCTGATTTTAAAGCGATTAGTCGAAAAACTAAGCCAAACGCTTACTTTAAGGTTTTTTTAAAATGAAAATAATAAATAAATTTTTTAAAAGGCTTACTTATTTTTTAAAAGGCTTACTTATTCAAATATCTGGGGCTTTCCAATATGGCGATTTTGGCGTCAAAAAATTCAAAATTTTGTTCAGAGTTGCGCTATCCAGTTATTATAGAGATCAGTGGACATTGTCCGTATCAAAATTTCATCTGTTGTTTAGATGTTTTATTTTAAGTAAAAGAATCACGAATTTTAGAATTATTGCGGGACGCGTTTACAGGTTTTTTTTTTAATCAATAGGTGTAATTCTCCCCTACACTCGATTCCACCAATATGATGACTATCATCTTCTCTAGAAACAAAACTTTCTAATGTTCTCAATAGTGCATCTGTTTCTAAAAATACAACCTTGTTTAGCCATTCACCCTCTACAGTGCACTTGTCACAGCTGGAATATCCTGAATGATACTTTATGCACTTAATAAATGCACGTGCAGGGGCATCACATACAATATTAGTTATATGAATATTGCACAAGTGTGAGTTAATTGTAACACCATTGCTTTTAAGATGATTTATCTCAGTAATAAATTGGGAAAAAAACTCTTGTAAATTTGGTTTTTACCTTCCACTAAAAATAGCAACAACTTTTGGTGACAATGAATCGTTAACTTTTTTTATTAGAATTGGCCGAAATGATATTTCAGAATTGTGAAAGAATGGAACACCATCAATATTAAATTGCAAACAGATAATCGATGGGTTAGATACACTTAATGTTTGAAGAAAAGGTTCAAAACCAATATATAAAAATTCACCATTAGTCACAATTCTAATTGTTACAGGTTTTGAATTTAATAATGTTTTTGAACACTTTGGTAATTGAGTATGATAAGGTTTTAAAATACATAACAATTTGTCCATTGTTGCATAAGGTATATTGTTTTCAATCGCATAATCACGTAACTTAATTTGCAACTCAAATTCACTTGGATTTTCGCCACCAGAATCACTGCTGGTAGATACTTCATTGCATGAAGAATGTAATGGAGATTCATCTCCATTACATTCTTTATGCAATGAAGTATCTGAAACTGGTTCAAAATCAGAACAATCAGAATGGTCGTTTAAGTTTTTGGATTTCTCCAAATGGACATTATCATCTTGATATTCTAAAATTAAAGTTAAACAATAATTCAAATCATAACTTAACAAACCAAACAGAATATATAATCTAATAATTAATATAAACAACATAGGCAATGACTAATGTAAATATTATAATTGATAAATAAAAATGATTCTGTAAAAACATAAAATTTATGATAAAACAAACCATTTGTGATATTCAAGAAATTACTAACTGCAATGGCAACTTTTCTACGTTTATTTCTTGAGGAAGACATTTGATATAGAATTATAGTAAAATAAGAATCTGCAAATAAAACAAAAAAAAGGATTGACATTTTCCCGGTATTTACGTAGGAGAGTGCAGCACCAAATCTATTAAAAATAATTTTTTCAATGCGCTCTCATACATAAAACATAGATCCTCCTGGATATATTAGAAAAATTCAAAAAATACTTTTCGTAAAATATCAAGTATATTTTTTCCCTTATTTTCTTCCTAATTTTGATTTCAGCTGAGTTGTTTCTCAAATGCTTGGAAACTTTTCCTAATTTTTGTATGAGTAATTACTAAAAAAACTTATAAATTAAATATATTACAAAAATTATATACTTAAACTTTTAGGTATTTAAAACTTTAAAGATATCCGGATGAACTAAGAGTTGAGAAAAATATCAGGAATTCCAGGAATATCCGGAAAAAGATACTCCTTGGTAAAAACAGGGACAATGCCAGCCCTAATCTCTCTCTCTCTCTTTCTCTCTCTCTCTCTCTCTCTCTCTCTCTATATATATATATATATATATATATATATATATATATATATATATATATATATATATATATATATATATATATATATATATATATATATATATATATATATATATGTTGGCTGTTTTCTTCAATTAAGGATACTATTCACATTCAATGCTTATTATTATTAAGTTTTAAGAAAATTAAAATATGAAAAATTAAAAAAATTCAGTAATATATTTAATATAACACTGACTTATTTTAATTTTTCATATTTTAATTTTCTTAAAACTTTATATAATAATTATATTACTGGTAATATATATATATATATATATATATATATATATATATATATATATATATATATATATATATATATATATATATATATATATATATATATATATATATATAATATATCTTATATCTATATAATATATACTACATAATATAGTATATATTATATAGCTATAAGATCCTACTGCCCCGCTGATCTTATTACCCTTCTTTACCCTATATATCATATAATACTATTTTAATTATTATAATGATGAAAATTTAAATTATAACTCTACGTAATATAACTAGTTGAACTTAATCAAAACCTCTAATGACATTGTTTGTTTTTTATTAAAAATTGCCTTAAAAGTTAAATATTAATTTAAAATATTAAATATTCAAGTTAAATGTTAAATTAAATTAATAAAAATTAAATATTATTTGATTAAATACTCTATGATATTGTATACCTATCACTGTATATATTAGTATATATAACTGATATAATATAGTGGTAATTGCTGAAAAAAAATCATACGCCTCGAGTCATTTATCTTATTTATAAAAAGAGACCGTAGAAATGTTTAGCTAGCATTTTTAACCGCAAATAAATTTTGTTTAAGTGTTTTAAAATACGTAAAAATACGTATTTTAGCTTTAGGATATTATTTCTTAGTTTAAATTCGTATTAATACGTAAACATACGGATTAAAAGATACGTACTATTTAATACGTCATATAGACGTAAGTTTACGTACCTTAAGTATTATTTTGCGCAAATACGTAGGGAAATAACTGTCTAAAAAATGATTTGTATTATTTTTTAAACAACAAATTACTAAACCAACCTTACTAAACATTTTACTAAACAACCTTTTACTAAACAGAATGTTTAGTAATGCTGGTTCAGTAACTCCGTTCAATAACACTACCCAGAATAAATTTTTGTCTTTGACTTCAAATCATAAGTTATTTCGCATCACATACTTGAGATTCGAGATCTAATTTATTGGAATTAAAAACTAGTTTTAATACTTTGTCATTTGGTAATAAAGGGCCGGGGTTTCCCCGGTGGAGCCCCTATGCAATGTTGATGTGGAAGTCCATTTCCCCACGACGGTCCTAGGCTCTGAATTCCTAAACGTTTTATTTGAAATTAAAATTTCTTTTTGAAATAACCTCGCAAAGTTCACTTTTTATAAGTTTTTTTGTTCGGATAAAATTTTGTTCTTGGTTATAGTGTCTACTATAATCAATTTGTTAAGGTGGCTACTCACTATTGAAAGTCTGAAAAAAAAAATTTTTTTTCTTTTTGTTTTTTGGAAGTTTTAACCTTTATAAACAATAAAAATATATAACAATGGAAAAAAAAGATATAAATTTGCCCTAATTTCGTTCTTTAAAAAAGGTAAACATCTAAAAGTTCCTTACAACGGTCTTAGCGACAGTTGGAACTTCTTTTCTCCAGAACTAATAAACACTTTTTCTCCATAATTTTGCTGTACCTTAACCATGTTCTTGTCTACACTGTTAAGTTATTCCTGAACTAAATGACATTGGTCAAAAGTACTAAAATCAGACCATATATGAATTTGTAGCTTTTTATTATATTTTTTTTTTTTCCAATGCGTTTTTCTCTGTTTAAAGATTTTCTACCTTCTAACAAAGATATCTTTAGTTTTGTTTAATATTTTTCTTTGAAATTTTCTACAGAGATAAAACTTAGTTTGATAAATGTGCTGAGTCAAAAATATTTATACTATTACTTCCCATTCAAATTAAAATTTAGTTAAATCGGGCCATTTTTAAGGGATTTATGCTAAATTGTAAAATTCAGGGCAATAAATAAAAATATTAACTTTAATTTTAACTCAGCACACAGTCCATATGATAAGCAAGGTTTTTGAAAAGTTTCACTTGATTTGGAATACTCTGCAAATAGTTATCCTTGTTAGAAAATATGCTGTTTTTGAGTTAATTATGCGCATAATTAATGACGTAATATTTAAAATAAAAGCTTTTTGTATTTTTTTGTCTTATTTGATGCCAATGCAATTAAAATGTTTAAATACGGGGGGATAAAAGGGTTCTTTTAAAGATTTTTTTTCTTTAGTGGGTAGCCACCTCAATGATGTTTGTTTGGTTTATTCATGATCAACAAAATTTACAAGTTATTGACAAAGAGCTCTCTGTAATGAAAATATAGTTTTTAGATTTCAGTCAAGTTAAGATGTCAAAAGCAAAGAAAGTTGATATTTAAAATTGTTCGGGTTTTCGAGTCCACCGCATTTTGGGTAGAAGCATACAATACAACAATACACAATACAACAAGGTCGAAAATATACAATACACAAAATAACAAAGTCGAAAATACCCATTACAACCAAGACCAAAAAAATTAAATCTTCAAAGTCAACCTTATGGTTGTCCATTAATTGTGGCAACAATTTTTTTGGCAATTTTCTCCCTCTCCTTTGTCAAAATTCCAGAGCCCACTTACTCTCCATTTAAATTACGCCAACATTTCACTAATTTTCTTTCCTCCCACCTACCTAACCTCATTAAGTAAACTAAATGAAAAAAATATATATATATATTTTTTTAATAATTTAATTTATTTTAAAATGTAACATTGTTGGCTTCAACTTTTTTTGACGTTCCCCTTCCCCTTGTCAATGATTGTCTTAAATTCTTAGACTCCTTCCCTCTATTTTTTTGAAATAACTAATGGACCCACTTTAACTATGTTTAAAAATCAATACAGTAGTATTATAAAAGAAGGGGGTGGGTTGTATCTACATTTTTGCCAACTAAGGCCAAGAACTAACGCCTCTGGTTGCATCTTCAAGCAATTTATTATCACAAATTATCATGCATATTAATAAATCTTTATGCAATGTTTAAATGCCTAAAAATTTCCTAGAATTTGAGAAAAGCTGACTTGTATTCATCTTCATTGCCAGTTTGATAAAATAGACTGGTTTAAAGTAGCAGTTCATATAGTTTTTTCATATATGTTTATATATATAAGTTCAATGGATATTCAAACAAATAGTTAGATTAAGTCGTTTAAAGGCAACGTTTTGTTTATTGATAATGCCTAGCATTTTGTTAATTGATTTTGTCAAAGAAATTTCAAAGGAAAATTTTATAATAAGCAGAATCTTGTTGTTGTGGCATTTTCACTGCTTTTCAAAAGCCACAACCTTTGAAACGTTAAAAAATATTGTCAAAGAACATCAAAGTTGTAAAATACATTTTGCCGCAAAATATTTTATGGGAGTAAAAATCTCATATTAGTAGAAAAAAAAATTTATTAGATTTTTACTGAAGAGTAAAAATTTAACATGAGATTTTGACTGGGGAGTAAAAAATACGCGGGAGTAAAAACTTCGTGCTACACCGGCTCTGTATCTACTATTGGTTGAACTTTCCGGAACCAACGATGATCATATGATCATTGAGCAGCCGTGGCGCAGTGGTTAGAGTTCTGGCTCAGAACCCAGAGATCCCGGGTTCGAGGCCAACTCCAGCTCAAAAAGCGACATTGGTAAGGAAGGAGACGTGAACTTCCAGTTAAATGCTCTCCCACGGTGCTCCATGATAAGACCGTAAGGACTTCTGGGAGCACCTAAACAACTTAAAAAAAAATATATGAAAGCCAAGGAAACAAAATATAATAAAAGTCGAGTAAGCATCGTTTTCAAATTTAAAACGGTTGCCGTAATTAGAGTTAGCAGCGGCATGTTATTTGAAATCTAAGTTATTTTCTGTAAATGTTACTGTAATATTTATAAATATTTATGTCTTATCTTAAATATTTATAATTTATTTTAAATATATTTTAATATACTTTAAATATTTTATAATTTTAGTTACAATATGTGTTTTATTTCCAGTGAATTTAGTAAGCATAATCATGCGAAACAATAAAACAGAAGTTTTCATTTGTTTTGGTTATTAGTTAAAGGCGAGTTTCCACTCATCCGTTTTTCAACGGGAACGGGATAGGAAAGGAAAAAATAATCACGTGAGCATGCGTAATAAAAGTTTTTATTTGCCCGAAAGAAAACTGCGCATGCTCATGTGATTATTTTTCCGTTCCCTTTCCCTTTCCCGTAGAAAAACGGATGAGTGGAAACTCACCTTAACAACATTCGTCGTTCGATGTTATTGAAAATTGGTATTTATGTTTTGGTAATGGCAGTAGACATTGAGTAAGCACTTTTTTATTATAGTCAAATATACTAATAAGCACATTAGCCTTCATTTTATGAATATTTCTTTTAGGCGGGTGTTTTTTTTTTTTTTAATTTTTAACTCTTTCATTGGTTAGTTTGGTTTGAGCTGTTTTGTAGGAAACCTCAATCCCACTTTCCTGCAGAAATTCAAGTATATCTTTTTTGTCTAAAACAAAATGCGATAAGTAAAATGTAAAATTTTTTAACACAAAATTCAAACTTAGTTAAAGAGTTCATACTTGGCATTATGTTTTGATTAATGTTGCTTTTAAACCTGGATATTAATTTTTCATCTTTTGGGTTCCAAGAGTGATAATCTCTATCTAAAAATTATTTTGTTATTATATAGTTAATTACTAGATAATAAGATTTTCAACATACCAATTGTTAAATTTTATTTTTCATATAGGTTTTGTACAAATATAACAAAACCTAAATGATATCAAATTAGTTTGTAAAATTTTTAAGGCATCAATAAAGTTATTTCATGTTAGTGTTTATTATTAACATAATCTAAAAAATACCTGATGTTAATGCATTTTGTGGTTCAATGTCATATTTTCTTGCTTTGTTACTTGATATCTCGTTTTCTAATTTGATTGAATAAATTTTATAAACAATTTAATGTTTGATTAAATTTGATTAAAAGTCTATGCAAAACTTTATCTTTATTAATTTCTGGTTAAATATAAAAAGATTTTTTAAAATCAATTTTAGCCTGGGAGTTATTATACTGAAACATTGAAAATTTTTATTAAAAAAAAGAACTTCGGCCAAAATTTATCATTTAAATTTTTTTTCATAATTCACAGACCCAGTGTATAATAAAAATATGCCGTGTCAGCAGAATATCATACAGACACAATAACGTTTTAAAATCGCCTTAACTGCACTAAGTACTCAAACTGTTCTGAATATTGTGGATTGCTTTAAATTAAGATTTCCCCAGTTTTTGTTTTGATTTGACAGGACAAGTTATTGCATTGCCTAATATATGCTTCTCAGTAAATGCTGAATTGCATAATGTTTTAGTAATTGTTGTCTCTAGGTAACTTTGAATTTAAACTCCTTGTCTCGCTTGATTCCAGGTATATTTTTGTTGCCTTCTATCCTTATCTGATGTAAGTTCTGCAAATTTCTGCGACAAATTTTGAATACAGAATACTATAACATCACTTGTCAGGGGTGTAGCTTCCGGTTTTTCCCAGTGACTGAAATAGTTTATATTTCTTACTTGAGTTGTTTGCTATGATAATCAGTAGTCCGGTATAACAATTTTTTTGGTGTTTTTTGTCTCGGGTGAAAATACTCAAGGAAAAAAAAAAATCTGACTACTAAAATGTGACTAATAAGAAACGTGACTAATAAGAAACTTAAATGTGACTTAAAATGTAACTAATAAGAAACTTAGTTTACTTTTTAATTAAAAGTAAATTAAGGCGGAAAAAAAAGGAATATTTTATAAAAATATTGTTCAGTAACTTTAGTAACAAAGAGATATTGGTGAAGAAATATCTTTGAATTCTACTTTAAAATATTGTCATTTTTGTCGTAGTCGATATTTGTTTCGAGTCTGTTCTTTTTGTCAATCTTACCAAAGATTTCATTATGCGAAGAAAAAAGTTAAAAGTTGTATTCTCAAAGAAACAATTTATAAAAAGAAAAATATTCTATTATCACTTTTAATCTTCAAATAAATTTAGTTAGAATTTAAGTTAAATGTTTAAAACATGTTTTTATTGTAATTCATTATACTAAGGGATTATCCATAAATTATAGACAATCCCTTAATTACATAAATTATATAAACACTATATTTCGTTAATAAACAAAACAAAAAAGATCAGAAGTTTTGTCTTGCAGAGCTTTATGATCAATGAAAAAATCAAAATAGCTTATTAAGTTTAATGAAAATTGCTGCCTAAAAGAGCTAAAGATTTTTTAAAAATAAGTTTTGCATAATTTATGGTCGAACGCTATAAATTTCTTCTTTTCTTTTTTTTTTTAAAAAAAAGAGCTTTGGTGTGTGCATTAAGCCACTACCAAAATATACTTTTTTTTCTCAGATCATATTGGCTCACTTTGGGATTTGTTGTACATACCATTTTAAGACTATCCTAAAAATTTCAGATCGATTTGAGTAAGGGTAATTTTGGGAAACGGTTTTAAAGTTTTAAAGTATTTTCTTGTTTTTCATGAAACATTCATTTTTCTGGCATTTTTAATATTTGTATACTTTATTACTAACTTTAATACAAATATTCTTTCCATTAGAATACTTGAATATAATGGAATGAGTATTTACCACATAATCTTAAACACTAGTGTAGGAACAGGGGGAGGAGAAAGCAACACCCCCCCCCCAACTATGTAAAGACTTCTACTCAAATTCCGATTACGGCTGCCTTAGCCCCTGTTTCTATCCGTTTCAACCCCCAACTTTCTTGACCTTCCTACGCGACTGATCTTAAATATTTTATGCGTCGTAATTTACTTTAATAACACAGTAATAAACGTTCTGTAATAGACTTGTGGTAAAGCGCTCGCCTTATAAGTAAAGCTTCTGGCTCAAGCCAACCTGATGCTTCTGGAATTACCGCGTTCAACATGTTTCTCTGCGAAAGGGTAATTCCGGAGTTAAGGGTTGAGAGTCTTGCAATTAAAATAACTCTTGACAGTAGTCAAGTCAAGGATGCCTTTGGACATAGGGATGTAAACCAAATTTAAAATTTAAAAAAAAAAACATTTTTCAAGAAAAAGGTATAAAGTAATCAGTTTTAGATAAATTACATTTATTTTCTGCTCTGCTTTGATTTTTAGTTAAGATAAAGTTGTGTCTCTTTATTTGACCATAAACTATCTTTGATGCCTCTGATACAAGTTTCACAGACCTTTCCATTGATTGTGAATTGTTGGGTAAATCTGTAAGAATAGGCTTTTTAGAAGTTTGCAAAGCATTCTCTAATTCAAATGATGAAATTAGGATAGAAGTTGGAGGTTCGACCTCAATTAAAGAAACATCAACTAAACCACTCCATGTATCAGCGTTAAAGTTAATAGGCATAATTGATTTTGCTTTGATTTTTGGTTTAACTTCAGGATTTACTTCTCTTGAATGCCTTATGTACAAAATTTGCTTAATAGCTTGAGCTCTTATATCTTTTTCATCATCTTGCAACATAGAATATAAAAAGTTTTCTTGAAGACAGCAATAAGAGTTTCCTTGAAGATTTTGAAAAACAATTTGTTGTACATTGTCTGTTTGATTTTTAACAAGCTCTATTGTTTTATGAAGAAGTCTTGGAGCATCTTTATAAAGACCAGACTTTTTATGGGCAAACCACATGGGGCAATATACTTGGACAATATACTTTGTAATTATCCACAACTCATCTGTAGGATTCTTCACTCTCGCATAAACCATCATTATCCTTAAAGCTAGAGTTAGCCATCTGGCATGGTAAACAGGTCCTGGTTTTTTCATTGAATATTTTGGGGATATAAAACCTCTAGATATTCCAATACAGTATTCGCAAAGTTTACGTTGATCTGTGCTAAGATCAGATAAAATATTAGAGTTTACATACGAATCAATCTCTGATTGAATTGGAATAAAATCAACTATTGGTAAATCATGCAAATCATCTGCAGAAGCTTTTTGACCAATATGGCCCTTATATTTCTTTGGATCGTTACTTTTACCATCTACTTCAGCTATGACATGGCGAAGTGGTAACTCGTTTTGATGAAGTACACATCCTATTAAATGGATTCCTCGATTTAAAAGCTTTTCTAATGTCACAACTAAGCCATTATCTGCACCGGTATTAGCAGAAGTATTATCAAGAACAATGGCTTCCAAACTACTAATGCTGTTGTATTTTTCAAGTATTTTTAGTGTTTCGGTTGCCATTGTAATTCCTGTTCCATTTTTTATTTCAATATGAGTTAAATATTTTTTAGAAAAAGGTCCACTTTCTGCAGTAAAAGTTAAGTGATGTTCATCCTTTACTGTTCTATTAACAATAGGTTCAGCATTATGATCATATCCTAATATATGTGCTAATGTATTTTTGTCTTTTTTTACTATCTACTCCAATGACTTTCAAATGGAAAACTTCTGAACAGTGTTTTTCACTAAACATGGTTGAAACACGCTTTTTAGTGTCAAATATCTTTTTTTCAGTGGTAATTTGTGATCTGTCATTCTGAGTTATAATTTGATAGTCTATCAAGGTAGCAGTTGTTATGGCAGATGTTGCAGCATCACTAACTTGGAACCTAATGGCAGCTTTGGCAATGTTAGTTAAATCTGTGTAATTTTTTTCACACAGTGGTTTTGCAAAAAACTCACGATTCTGCTTTTTATAATCATCATCGTTATCTATTTCCATATCAGTTTCACTAATATAATCATTATCTGAATGGAGTGTTGTGTCACTTTTCATATTAATTTTCTCCTTATTTCTTTTTCTTGCAGTCATGGCTGTTTCTTTCTTATCAATTCGGCCTATCTGCCAGGTTCCAAAGGGCCCTTGCTTAACTTTCTGGTCCTTTAAATACTCTCGTTCTAGAACTGGAACCTTAATTTTAAAAAAATATACATTTAATAACTTGTAGAAAGTTTAAAATATTATTAAGCATAAATTAAAAAAATAATAATACAAAAAAAATTCAAATTTAACCTGTTTACTTTTTTCACAGAGACATATATAGTGCTTGTTAGAGCAACCCTTGCATTGAACATTTCTAAAGGGTAATATACAGTAATATATACAGTAAAATATATGGCAGTTTAGTCACAAATTTGTTTAAACAAAATTGTTTAATATTGTGGTTTTTTAAAAATGTATAACTTCAAACCTGTCATCACAATTTAAAAGAGGAAGTTCACATCTGCATGCTGATATATCAAATAACTTTAAAAGGTTATTATCTAACCAACAAACAATATTTTTATGTTTTGAAGCTTTAGATCGTTCAGCTGCAATTACTTTTTGAAATGTTCTTTGTACCTTATTTCTTAGAGGTTTCTCTTTCATTAGTGGAAGATTTGGATTAAGGTTTTTCCAAATTTTTAAAATTTCTTCACTCACTTTTAAAACTACGGCTGGAGAGTCAATTTTTTCAGTTGTAGTTATTTCATTTTCGACCTTATATATTGAATAAACTGTTTATATGTTGGGAGGTCACTAACAGGTAGTTCATTTGGTTGTCCAGCATATGTTTCACTTTGATGTCTAGTTATAATATTATGTGTTCTTTTTCTTGGTGGTCGCCCAGATCCACATTTGTTATTCATTTTTAATATTTAAATTCAGTCTGAAAAAGATTTTTTATAAACTTGTTATATAAGATAATATCAAGTGAAAATACTATAAAATACAGAAGCTAAATATATAGCTAATATTTCTATACTTTATCTATGTTAGATTTTATATAATATTTTATATCTTAAAACATTGTAAAAAGTAACTTTTTCCCAACAGAAAAAATGGAAACGCATTTAAAAATGGCAAACTTGTTGTTTTTGTACCAATTTATGACGCGAAAATAACATTTTATGTGTCGTTCTGTCCAATTTCACAATAATTGAATGGAACCATAAAAATGTCACTTGTTTTGTTTTTCCCAAAAAAATGACAAATTTTTGAAATTTTTTAAATTGATAATAATTTTATTGAATATAAATAGAACATTTCCCAAAGTGAGCCGAGTATTGACTTTAACTTGGTAGTGGCTTAGTGTGCATCATTAAATGCATTCTAGTAATGTTTTTTCACGTGCATCCTAAGAATGCTTTTTATTATGTTTTTATTTTATTTGACTAAGTTAAAATAAAAATTTTTTTTACTAATGAAAAGCAAGAGATTCAGTGTTATTAACGGTTTAACTGCCCATTCCCCTGATTAAAAATGCGACTGTGGCTTTTAATTTTAATTTAAAAGTTCAGTCCTTGTTTAAAGCCTTACCCGTAAAGCGATTTATTTGCGATTTTACGTATTTTGGTTAAGCAGTTTTTTATCATTTTTTAACTTTTAAATTGTTTATAAGCGGTAAGATAAAAGAAGAAATTAATTTTTAAAAAAACTAAATTAACTTTCGGATGACGATTATATAAAAATATTTACTAAACTTTTAAAGACATAATGATATAAGCACTATTTACTAATAAAAAACCTGAATTAAAATTAAAAATTTATTGTTTTGTTTTGTTTGATTTTTTTTTGACTTGAAAGACGCAAATACTTTAAACTTGAAGAAAAAAAACCTTAATATAATTTAATTCTGATAAACAGTATTTAATTTAATTAAATAATAATATGATTTAGTTTAAAACTAATTTAATAAAAATGTATAAATTTATTCTGATAAAAAATAAAAATATTTATTTAGATTTAAAAAATACATTATTTAGTTTTGATTTAAAAAATATATTAAAGTTTATTAAAGTCATAGTTAATGTTTGGGTTTAACTTAAGTGTCAAATTTATTTAAAATATTTCTAAATATTGTTCTTTATTCAAATTTTATTTATTCTTAAAAAAAAATTCGCTAATTTTTATCACAATTGTTTTTTCGGTTCAAAGCATTTTTTTTTTACTTAAAATTAAGTTTTAAATAAACGACTGCATCAAAAAATTGCGCAAAATGTAAATTAAAATTTTTTTTTATGTTTAATTGCAGTGATTATCTTTTAATAAATGATATATACAGCAATATAATTTTAATAAATGACGTTTGGAAAAATAATTGTTGCTTTTGCAACAAAATTGTTAATAAAATAATAAACTTTTAATAAATGAAGTAAATAAATTAATGTAATTTTTTTATTTGTTACTCTTTTAAATAAAAATTATTTGTAGTTGCAAAGCCGCAATTAAAAATTTAAGAAATAATCATTTAAAAAATCAAAAATTTAACATATTTTAATTCATTTATACAAATGTTTAGAAAAGAAAGAATTTTTTGAATATCAAACATTTTTTAAAATGTAATATTAAATTTAACTATTTAATATTAAAAAAAAATTTCCTCATAGTAATAATAAAAAAGAAGTTAAATAATATTTAACTCGTTTTACGGTAATTAATATTATTGCAGAAATATAAAAGTTAATGTTAAGTTAATATCTTAAATAAAAAAAGAAAGAATTTTATGACATCAAGTTCACATTAGGCTATTGTGTAAGCATTTTTTATTTAAAACAAGGCCTGAAATTCATATTAAATTGAGAAGAAAAAAGTTCAGTCTAAGTTATCTTGAAATATTAATTTGCTTCTTTTGTGAACGTATACTTTGAATGTTTTTTAAAGATTTCTTTTAAATAATCGTATTGAAAAAATCTTCATAAATAAAAATAAAATCTTCCTAGTTCAAAATACGGTTTTATTAATAAACATTCTTTTGAAAGTAAAAACCTGTCTGGTCGTACATTTTTTAAAATGTCAGTTACCGTTTGAGAAAATAAGTTGTCCCGTGCTATGGGACAACCGTGAAGGTACACCCTTACCTGTCAGGTTAATTTCTTGTAACTGCTTTGGTAGATTCTCTAGAATAGCAGTTAACTCAAAAATGACTCCAAAATTTTTTAATGATGAAAGCTGAGAAATTAAACCTTTAATTTGTGGACTTGTTGTCCAGCAAGTCTTGTCACTCTGAAGACTGTTTAATATTGTGCAGAGTTCTTCTCCAACATATGTGTGTCGCATATGTTTGCGTTGTCCATTGAGTTATTAACATAGACTTCAGTTGCAATATTCTGTATTCATCTGATTCAGACTCTTGCAATTTATCTTTTCAAAAATATTGAGCTCACTATTCAAAAATATTTTTTCAGTTTTGCTGCCCACCATTTCATAAATGATACTCCATCAAAGCCTATTTCTGCGACTTTTGTAAATTCCAAATTGCACCTCAAAATGATTTTTTTAATATATGTATATAATAGTATTATATTCATGTATTAAAGATATCCTTTTTATTATCCTTTGTATAATAATATTATACATGTATATTAAAGATATCTTTTTGAGGTCCTATTTGAAATTTAGAAACGTTGTGGGAATAGGCTTTGATAGAGTATCAGTTATGAAATGCTTAGCAGCAAAACTGAGAGTTTTTTTTTGGGCAACATATATAATAAATGAAATATAAGTTCATATATAATGTAATCAAAATATGAATATCTTATAATGTAAAATACAAGGGTTGAATTAAGCGATTGTGAAATGAAAAAATCCGCAAAAATATCTGGTTTTCCAGGCTTGGTCGGGAAGCAGGAGCGTTCGCACTCGTATGCTGACCACGGAAATAATGAAATGTTTTAATAATTGAATTATTCAAGATTTGTAAAGTTTTGAGTCTCTAGAATAAATTGCTTTAAAATTGCAAACAAATATTACTTTAATATTATGGCTCGTTCTCGGAGCCACATCTGTAAAGCTGTGAATCTTTAAAACTATTATTATTTGCTTACAATTATTAATATTTTATAATATATATTTCTTAAACTGTCAAAATTTTAAAAGGTTATTATAAGTAATAGATTTTATTAATATGTCCTTTTTTTTATTTAAAAAGTATGTATTTTTTTTGTAAATGTAATTTTATGTATCTGTTTTTTATTCTTATGTAATCTTTTAAAGCAATTTTTACAATTTATTTTGTAAACAAAGACTTTCAACAATAACTGCGTTTTCAATGAAGTTATTAATTATCATCAAAGTTAATAAAACTAGTTATGAAATAAACATACAAAAAGTTTCTGTTTACTAAACACGAACATGCATTCAAAGTAACTTGCGGATTAATAAACACCGTGCCTGAAGTCACAACAGAACGCAAATATATATTGAAAGTTATTAGATATAAAGAAAAGTTTTTAGACATTGTTTTAAAAACTCTAATTATTTTCGCTTCAGTCGCCATTCTTACAAACTCGTTTTTCCTTTTTTCCGTTTTAAATACTAATTAAAATTCAAAAAGCCAACTCACTTAACATCATCAGCGATATTGTAAAGCAGTCATAAAGTACTTTAACATCTTTAGTTGATTTCTATCTAGTTAATTTAATTTCTTAAGTAACTCAATGATTTAAATATTTTATTTGTTCACCTTACTAAGAAAAATTGTTTCAAATGTGTTAAACTTTTCGAACTGCACGAAGTATGAAATAGTTATTAAAAAAATTAACTTTTTTATTTATTAAATAATTTAGCTTTAATTAAATTAAAATAAGCGTTAGTTTTATTAATATCTTGTTAGACTATTCGGGGCCATAGGCTAATACTATTTTGGAGGCCTTTTTACAGTCACAGCGTTAAAATGACTGAAAAATATGGTCTGGGGCTATAGCCCCCTCTAACTCCAACCCACTGGAATAAGACATGAGTATATAAATAAAAGTTATATTACACTCATTGATAAATGAAAGAACATTTGTTTCCTTATTAAGAAATCGTTAAATGTTACTCTATATAAAAAATGTCGCTTAATTTTTTTAAAAAAATTATAAAAGTGTGATGTTTCGAAAGTATTTGTTCTAAACGTTATTTATTTAGCTTCAAGTTTTGTTGCGGTAAAAGATATTTTATTTACTTAATTTTTTTGTAATTGTCTCTCGTCGGTCCAAATAAACTGCCCTTTTTTTTGTTTGTTTTTTGAAATGTTCTCAAAATGACTAAAAAATCTGGCCAGTTTTTCGCAACTAAATATTATTTCTGTGGTCAGTATATGAGAGTGATTGCTCCCGCTTCCTGACCAAGCCTGGTCTTCAAAATTTTAGTTAATGCAAAGTTGTGTACATTGTTTTCAAGGAGCAAATTATTATAATTTTAAACGAAAAAGTTATAAAAAACAAAATAATAAACTTACGACTACTAAAGGAATAACACTCTAGTCACTAACTGCATTATAAAATTAATAAAAGTATAATAGCGTTATTACTTTTATAAAGCACTTATAACTTTTAAAGTTTATTTTATGTTCAAACAACATTAATAATTCCAAACTTTAATCCAAGTAAAAAAGCATCTAAAAAAATAAAGTTGATTTTCAAATATTATTAAAAACCATAGGAGCTTTTACAAATACACTTAAAGAACTTTATAAAATCATTCTTTACAATAAGTTTAGCATTATAAAAAACGTTACTAATAGTCCATAAAAACATGCGTTTATTTTAAAATCAACCAATAAAACATTTTTATTGATTGATTTTAAAATTAATGTGCGTTTTTACGGACCATTAGTAACTTTTTTCATAATGCTAAACTTTTTATAAAGTGCATAAAGTTGTATAAGTATATTTGTAAAAGTTTCTGAAGTTTTTTATAATATTTGAATATTCACTTTATTTTTTCTAGATGCCTTTCTACTTTAATTAAAATTTTGAATTACTAATGTTGTTTGAACAAAGAATGAACTTTAAAAGTTATAAGTGCTTTATAAAAGTAATAACACTATTATAGTTTTATTACTTTATAATGCAGTTAGTGACTTGAGTGTTATTACTTTTTTATTATTTTTTTTTTATAATTTTTTCGCTTACAAATTAAAGTTGATTCACTCCATGAAAACAAAAAAACACGGTTTTGCATAAACTAAAATATTGAAAACCAAATTTTTTCCGGATTTTTCGTTTCGCAATTGGTTAATTTAACCCTTGAAATACTTTTTAAAGTTTTATTTGAATCAAATTTAAACTGTCTTCTCTGTAAAAATTTAATCTATGCCCACCTATTACCAGTTCCAGTTTGTAAATATTGATAATAAAATTTATAAAATGTTTGATAATGAAATAGTTTTAAAGCACAAAAATTATAGCACAAAATATGCCACTGAATCATGGAATAATTTTAAAGCACAAAATATGCCACCACAGCCAAAAGGGCATAAGTAGCAATTGCTACCCTAGCTACCTCTTTTGGCCGTGCCTGTCTTTATTCCATTTTTTTACTTTATATTTATTTGACAAATTGTTATAATAGAATAAATAAATACAAGTTATGAAATATTTGTTTAGATTTACATGCATTTTTTTAAAAATTTGTTGTTTTGGTTCTTAAAAAGTTATAAATTTTTATTAGTCTTATTATTAGTTTTAACTTATCACATTAAGTTAATTTTTTATTTCCACAACTTTATCTGCAATTGGATCTAACTAGACCATGCCAGTAAGTAAAAGATTAAATGGGTTTTCATGTAAGTTGTGTTGTTCTGATAAACTTTAAAGAAAACAACCTACCATTTTTTCTTTTTATTGATTTGTCTGATAATATATTTTTACTCTCACGGTGACTTTGCTTAGTCCAAGTTGAACAAGATGCCTCTTTGTTTGATAAAAAGAAAATACAATTTGTAGTGAATAATTAGTTTATGAATTATAAGTACAGTTGACTCTTGACATCTCGAACTCTTAATATCTCAAAAGTTTGAGATATTGAGTAGTCGAGATATTGAAAGCCAACTTTATTATTTTAAATATAATTAATTAAGTGCTCATTAATAATAAATAACAAACAAAGGATTTCAGATTCACACCTGAAGATTATAAATTCAAAATTCTTTTAAAGGTTTTAAAAACTTTAAAGCGATTTTGAATTTGTAAAATCATTAAATAAAACTAAAAATCAACCTACCATTGCTTGTCTGTTCTGATACATATGTAGGTTGACAAAACTTTGTAGGTTTATTACCACCTTCATAATGTAAAAAATTAAAAGAATTAGCCATTTAAAAGTACGCAATAATATATTTGTAATAAATTTGTTCGCAGTAATCTTTTTTCAAGTTATTTTTTACAAAAAACAATTGTAAATTTTTAAAAATAAATATAAAACCAAAAAAATAATTAATTTTTATGATATTAGTACAAAATAAGGTTGTTAAATATTTCTAAAAGAAAGAATTAAAGTTGAACAAGATGCCACTTTATTTGATAAAAAGAAAATACAATTTGTAGTGAATAATTAGTTTATGAATTATAAGTACAGTTGACTCTGATATCTTGAACTCTTAAATATCTTGGATTTTAGCTCAAAAAAGTGCTTAAGGGACATATACTCAATATCTTAAAAGCTTGATATATTGAGTAGTCGAGATATTGAAAGTCAACTGATTTACTATGAATTATAAATATAATTAAGTGCTAATGAATAATAAAGAAGGGATTTCAGATTCACACCTGGAGATTACAAATTTAAAATCCCTTTAAAAGTTTTAACAACTTTAAAGCGATTTTGAATTTATAAAACCATCAAGTATAACAAAAATCAACCTACCATTGCTTGTCTGTTCTGATGTATCTGTAGGTTGACAAAACTTCGTAGGTTTATTACCACCTTCACAAGGTAAAAAAAATTAAAAGAATTAGCCATTTAAAAGTATACAATAATATGTTTGTAATAAATTTGTTAGCAATAATCATTTCCCTAATTATTTTAAACATAAAATGCTTACCCTCAATCTCTAAAAGCCTGCTCCCTATGCGTGTAATTGTCTGCATAGCTTGTGGAGTTTGATAAGTATTTTTGTTGGTATCTTTTGAATGGCCCATATGGGTGTAAAATAGTTCTCTATCCAATTCTGGTATATCAAGATTAGAAAAAATAGTGCTAATGTAATGTCTATTACCAGTTGCTTTAAAATTCTCTGGTTTTTTTAAGTTTAGATTTTGGGCAATACTGTTTATCGCACTCCAGCCAGAGGTATGGCTGTCAGAATTCTTTGTGCAAGCAAATAGATACTTGTTTTCTATTGGAATGTTTACACTTGCCCTTATATTTGAATCTGATATAATTTTTAATGCTGCCATTGTTTCTGGTGGTATTAAAACAGGAACTTGTTTCGTCCCTTTGCCAGCCATGTATGTTATTTTTATATTTTTGATTAATTTTTGGTCAGTTGTGTTAAACTCATCCAAACGTGACTTATCTATATAATCATCGTCAAGGGCTTCATTGTATTCACTTAAAAAGAGCCTTGCTGGTTCACCTCCTAAAATTAAAATAAAATGAAAATAATTGGAACAACTATTAAAATAAATTTATTTTAAAAATATTATAAAAGTATAATAATAAACTGTAGGTTATAAATATTATAATTTGAAAATGTAATATATTTTATATATAAATCTAAAAAATGATAGTTACTGCTCAAAATGCTCAGAGTGGTGACTAAATATACTGATGTTATAATTTTTTGTAACCTAATGATATAGTAATTACTTAACATAAGTTGTTTTGTTATAATAAGTCAAACTAATATTATTTTAACAATTACCTCTTCTACCATTAAGCAATGTGAGTCTTGCACACGCACAATCTCTTAGCTCAACAAAACTATCCAAATCAAACATATAAAATGGATCGCTTGTAAGGCTTTCCATTCTTGAGATAACATGGTCTCTAAACATTATTACATCTTCATCCACAGGAAGTTTAGCTAGTTTTCGTAATTTAGTTTGCTTGTTTTTAAGCAAACTAATACTAGCATCTCTAAACATAGAAGCCTTCCACATATTAAATATTGAATTGAACTCATCAATTTGAATTGCATCACTGTCTTTACACTCCGTAAAATAAATGCCTTTCATGATCTTAAGCGCTTTTATTTTTAAAAATAACAAATTTTGTTTAAGACCAGCTTTAATATTTACTGAATCTTTTGTAGTATATATTTCAACTGATTCTTTAAATGACATAAAGTTTTGTCTCAAGAACATATCAGACAAGTTATTGTGCACCTTTGCTATATTTTCCTGTTGACAAAAAATATCATATAAGTATGCCAGTTGCCTCATAGAACTTCTTACAGAGTTTCTAGACACTCTAACCTTATCTTTGTTATTTCTTTCTCGTTCATACATCATTGAACCTATTTTAAGAATCATTATATCCTTCATACAAATATTAAAAATTTTGTCACATTTAAAATGAGACATTATATCTTTTTTAAAACCTTCCGATATTAAAGAATTTTTTGGTATTCCTAAAGTGTTCACCGGAACAGGATGAACTTTCATACTTGAGTCTTTCTGACAAAATTTAAAATGATTATGCCAGAATTTTTTCGATACAAATTTCATGCATTTGCTGCAATAGTTTATACCCATATGTTTTACTGCATGCTTCTCCCTTTCAAACCTAGGGTTTTCTTTATTACATTCTTTCATATTCACTTCAAAAATCCCTTTTCTTTTAAAAGATTGCAATATTTCGTTCTTTTCTGCTTTATTACAAGTTTTTAATGCAATAACTTCTGGCAGTTTTTTATGAACACTAGAATGATATGCCGTGACAAATAGGAGCTGTAGGTTTTACAAAATATACAAAATCTTTTTGGTTTTTTCCTTTTCTAAAAATATAAATATTTAATTTAACCGTAACTCAATAAAATAATAAAAAGTAGAGAAAAAATTAGCTTTTTGTTATAGTGATGAAAAAATTAGCTTTTTGGTACAATGATGAAGATGATGATGATAATGATGATGATGATGATAATGATGATGATGATGATGATGATAATGATGATAATGATGATGATGATGATGATAATGATGCTGATGACAGTGTCAACAAACACTATAAGAAACAATTTTTAATATACTTTACAAAATAAAGTAAGATATTGGCCCTTACATCATTACGAAGTACTTCATTGTTAATTTCAGCTGTCACATTAAGTTCAGATGGTTCCTAAGTTATAAAAATATTTTTTGCCAATAAGTTTATTAATACCATAATGCTGAATTTTAATGGTAATGCAACTATAAGTTAGCTTCCATGGATCATTTTTAACAAAGTATAAAAACTTTTATTATATTTTTAAATAAATGTAATTTATAAATGCAAGTTATAAATGCTATGTAACAGTCAACATAAAATTTTTTATTTAAGATAGCATACTGGATTAGAGACATTAATGGAATATTTCTAACATAATCAATTCAAATAATAACAATAGTACTTAACAATTGAATCAAATGACTGGAAAGACTCCATTTACTAATTTTTTTGTTAGTAAGTTTACAGTTTACTGATACCATATCAATTGATATAAGGCAAAATGTCCATTTTCACTAAATGTGGGATTTTTCTTATCATTAAGTTGCCTTACATAAGATAAAATGTTGCATGCCTAACTGACTTATAATCATTAAAACTTAAAACACCCTACATCCAGTACTTTAATTTGTTAATAAAAATTTGAAAGCTGCATTACTAGAAACTTAAAAAGGGATGTATGGTATTTGTCTTATACCCATTATTAACACTAAAAAATGTTCTACAAATAACATTTCGAAGTAATGCAAGTTTAACATGAACATATTTTATAAGATATAAAACTTTTAAGATATTTAACAAAAATGCAGGTTATAATTACAATTAAATTTTAATAATGACCTGAAAATTTTCACAATATGAATCCATACTTGTTGTGTCACGCATAACTGATTCCTAAAATAAAAATACGCAAATTCTTTTAAAATTATATAGACCAACAACCCTTAACTCTAAATTATGAATACCAGTTTAAAAAAAAATTGTTATAAACATTATGTAACAGGCAAGATAAATAAGTTTAATTAAAGATGGCACACTGAATTAAAACAATTGTAAAATATTTCTTTTATATTACATAAGAAATAAATTAATTGAATCAGTTCAAACTGATTCGATCAACGAATTCAATTACAAACTCATTTACTCTGAACACTTTGATTTAATAGAAAAGACTCCATTATTCATGGTAAATGAAACTTAACCAGAAAGAGCAGCACTGTAGTTTAATTTTTTTAAATAAATATAAAATCCAAAAAATAACCAATTTTTATAGAATTAATACAAAATAAGGTTGTAAAATGTTTCTAAAAGGAAGAATTGAAAATAAAAAAAACTAATAATAAAGTAAAGAAAGAATATGTTCTCTGTGTAACTCTGGGTTCAAAAAAAAGGGAGTGAGAGTTAAGTCCAGAACTAATAAACAGTTGGGTTTTTTAAAAAAAAAGGTAAGAATTTTTTTTATGTTACATTAAAAGTATTTTATTTAAAAATTTCAGTTCATAAATCATGCATTGAACTATTTTGTTCTAGCATGGCATGGGGTCAAATGCACATTTTCTAACAGCTGTTTATAATAAATTCGTTAAGATTTAATATACTAATATAAGTTTTAAACTTTGATGAAAAAAAATCCAAAAGCTAATTTTCGAAAAGTCGAGATTTACGAATCGAGTGTAGGGGAGAATTACACCTATTGATTAAAAAAAAAACCTGTAAACGCGTCCCGCAATAATTCTAAAATTCGTGATTCTTTTACTTAAAATAAAACATCTAAACAACAGATGAAATTTTGATACGGACAATGTCCACTGATCTCTATAATAACTGGATAGCGCAACTCTGAACAAAATTTTGAATTTTTTGACGCCAAAATCGCCATATTGGAAAGCCCCAGATATTTGAATAAGTAAGCCTTTTAAAAAATAAGTAAGCCTTTTAAAAAATTTATTTATTATTTTCATTTTAAAAAAACCTTAAAGTAAGCGTTTGGCTTAGTTTTTCGACTAATCGCTTTAAAATCAGATTTCAGCTAAGTTGAATATACAATAATGTGCGGATTAAAAAAAGATCCCTGAGGTTCAGAGTGTTGTGCATATGGGTGCAAAAAAGGAAAAGAACTGAGGGTTGAAGAAGTAATATTTTAGGAAGTTAATATAATAATATTATTATCTACAATAAATCTTATATAGTTATTTTTATAGATATCAGTTCTTAATTAACACTCATATATATATATATATATATATATATATATATATATATATATATATATATATATATATATATATATATATATATATATATATATATATTTATATATATATATATATAGGTACGCGGAAATCGCGATTTACGGAACCGATTTTTATGCTAAAATTTTGGTTCTCGTTTTTTTCACTCTTTTTTATGCAGCGTGAGGCAGACGTAGTTTTAAGTAGTTTCTTTTTAGAAACATATATAGACATAGATACTTTTTGGAAAGAAGAAAAGTTAATCTTAATTTTTGAAATACTTTTATGTATGGTTACTAAATTTTATTATGGAATATTTTGCTCCTGAATATTAGGTTGATGTTCTCTCATGAATTTGTGGTCAAAGAAATGTAGAGTCTGCTTTTTTTATTATTAAAATAGCTTGTTTCATGCATTTTCTATGCACATGCCAAATTTCAACAAAAAATAATGATAAGCAATTAGTCTAATTAGTGTTATACCAAGTATACCACTTTTTTCAGGTAGCCCTAGGCAAACGGTTTTTTGAGGTGGTTATTTTTAGAAACATATATTAACCTTGACGACTTTTGAAAGAAGAAAGATTTGGCTTGATTTATATAAACTATTGTGTATTGCTAACATACCTTTTTATGGAGTATTTTGCTGAGAATTTTGCATGGAAATTTGGCTGATGTTGTAACATAGATTTGTAGTTAAAGAAATGTAGAGTCTGCTTTTTTTATTATTAAAATAGTTTTTTTCATGCATTTTCTATGAACATGCCAAATTTCAACGAAAAATAATTATAAGCAATTAGTCTAATTAGTGTTGGACTTTAGGTACCTAATTTCGATTTTTTTTTTGTTTTTTTTTTTGGTAAGCAAAATCCGGTAGGCGCCGAAATCCGGATAAGGGGGGGTTTCAACTAAAAATCTTATTTTGAATTATTGTGATATATATTATTAGATTTAAAAAAATATGGCAACATATAGCAAGAGTGTGTTAGATGCCCTAACAGAAAGTAAGTTTAATTTTTTTTTATTCTTAATAATAGTATTAATAACTTTTTAACTCCAAAAAATAATGATTAATGTAAAACCTTCATTGTTTTTTATGTAACATATTAAAAAAGATTAATGTTTAAGATTAAAACTGTTGGTATTCATTGAATAATTCATAGTCACAGTTTTAATTTTTTTAAACACTAAAAATTTTTTTTGTTAGGCTTACACTAATGCAGTATGTAATTTACTCATTTATATGTGGTTTATAATAGCCTATTAAAACTGATTGTCACTTGTTAGATTCAGTTGACAATTTATTAAAACATTACATATAAACAATTTTATTACATACTTCATTACGTTAATCTTAACAAAAAGCTTCTTATTGTTTTTAAAATATAACAAAAGATATCATTATTATTGTCTTTTATCATATTTGGATTATATACTTCTTTATCTATGGATTAGTGTTTAAATCATTATACAAGCATGTCTAATATTTATTTCTTGTTTAGATCCTGCCCAGCTTTTTGTTGATTTTTTGAGGTTTCGTAAGTATAAATCACATAAAGTTTAAATTTAATATTCACTAAGAGATAAAGTATACAATAAGTAAATATTAATAAACATTTATTATATCTTCCTATCTATAGTAATTCTTAAAAAAACTAGAGTTAATTTTTTTACTTATTGTATATCATCTTTTTATGTGTTTATTGTTTACATAAGTTTATAACCATTCCTAATGTTAACTTGTTGCTTATAAATATATTATCTTTATATTTTAATAGTTATATTTAGTTGTTTATTTTCATTTTTTTAGTATAGTTGTTGCATCTTAAGTAGAAAATCTTTTAACTTTAGTACAGCTTTTAACATTTGTAACTTACTGTTGACAATTTTAAATTATTTTGTGCACAAAGTTTTTGTTATTTTTAGTCGAATCTACACAGCCCATCACTGGTAAGATTTTATCAGTTTGTATTTGCTAATGATTATAGAATTAGCTAGTACTTTTTATTCTGTAAATAAATTTGAAAGATTACCCATTTCAAAGTCCTTATTTGCAATATTTGTTTCTTATTACAAATTTTGAATTTAAGTTACATCTTTGACTTCAACAAATGGTAAATTTAACAATTATTACTTTTTAATATGTGTATATATTTTTGATGACTGCAGTATAAATTTTTTATTAAATAATTCTTAACCTTAGTTCCTTCTACATCTGCTATAAGGGGTATGTTAACTAATTTTTACTTTTCAAAATGTTTATACATATCTTGGCAATTTCAGTAATTATTTTTAATTACAACTTTGATAATATTTAGTTACATCTTCAGCACCCACTATAACTAGTAAGTTTATAAACTATTATTTGCAAATGTTTACTCACCTTTCTTATCAATTGCAAATTTTTATAGAAACTTTTTTTATTTTTAGTTCCATGTGTTCAACCTCCTGCTGGTAAATTTATGATTTAAAAATGTTTTTAAATGATTTTTTAATTTATGTTTATACTTGTATACACTATTTAATGCATTAGTATTGTGTTATCCCTCAAAGTGCAGTAAAATAAAATTATTACTCTCATGAACATTTTTTACGCTATCATTGATTAATACGTTGTTCATGTTATTTATTAAGCCTATCACTTTTACAATTAATTGTTTTATATTACATTTTAAAGCAGCACAGAATTGACTACTGTTACATTTGTAACTACATTAACATTTGTTGACAGTTTCAAATTATTTTGTGTACAATTTTTATTTTTATTTTTAGTCGAATCTACACAGCCTATCACAGGTGAGTTTGTATTAGTTTGTATATGCTAATAATTATAGAATCAGCTAGTACTTCTTGATCTGTGAACAGATTTCAAAGATTACCAGTTTCAAAGTCATTATTTGCAATATTTATTTTTTATTACAAATTTTGAATTTTAGCTACATTTACGTGTTCAACGAATGGTAAGTTTAACAATTATTACTTCTTAATATGTGTATATATATTCCTGATGAATGCAATAAAAATTTTTTATTAAATCATTTTTAACCTTAGTTCCTTCTACATCTGCTATTTGTGGTATGTTTACAAGTTTCTACTTTTTAATATGTTTATGCATATCTTGGCAATTACAGTATTTATTTTTAATCACAACTTTGATAATCTTTAGTTACATCTTCTGCGGCTTCTATGACTCGTAAGTTTAAAAACTATTATTTGCAAACATTTACACACCTTTCTTATCAATTGCAAATTTTTATAGAAACTTTTTTTATCTTTAGTTCCAGGTATTCAACCTTCTGCTGATAAATTTATGATTTAAAAATGTTTCTTAATGATTATTGAATTTATGTTTATATTTATATACACTATTTAATGCATTAGTATTGTGTTATCCCTCAAAGTGCAGCAGAATGAAATTATTACTCTCATTAATATTGTTTAAGTTATAATTGATTAATACGTTGTTCATATTATTTATTCAGCCTATCACTTTTTCAATTAATTGTTTTATATTAAATTTTACATAATGCCATTCAGTACTAATCTATTAACAAATCATTGTCATTTAGAGCTAACCTATCAAGACTACTTTATTGACATTTTTTGCAAGTTTGAATGAGAAGGGGAGGGGGGCGTTGGGTGTAGCACACATTCCTACCTGTACTAACATATTATAATAATCTTGAATACTTGTTTCTCTTTTCCAATAAACTTAATTTAAAACTATTTTTCAAATATCTTTTAAAATTTTTTTTTTAGGTTGGATACGACTGGGCAGGAAGGGGGGCGTTTGGCGTGGCACATGTCCCGTCCCTTATGTCAACTTATACACCACTTGTATATGCTGTAAAGTAAGAAAATTTAATTTAAAATTTTTCATACAAAATATAATCATTGTTTTTTAGGTTCAAATATTTATAACAATGTAGCATTTCACTACGAGGGTGTTAAAACGTAACAAAGACATCAACACTTCAATCTAAAATAGACCACTAATATTTGGAAATGGATTGGAAGCAAATTGGAACAATTTTTTGTGTATAAAGATGACATATTTTATCAGAAAAACACTCTTTCGTGTGAAAAACTTGTCTTTTTTTAAGGGTACGAGGGTGTTCCGTACCCCCTCCGGTCCTCTAGACGCCCCTTTCATCTATAGAGTTATATAAACTTGTAGCCTACTCTTACATCTATCTTTTGATGCCAAGGTATAGACATTTGGATAAGATTTGACAAAGTTATAACAATTTTAGTGGGAAAAAAAATAATTTTGGAACCAGTTTCTTCAATAAATCCATATATCGAAAATTTACTACTAAAAACGCTATAACTTTTTATAGAATTGTCCGATTTTCATAATTTTTTCACCATTAAAATACTGTATTAAAGGGCTTTCTAATGATATATAATATTCTAGTATTTAATTAATTTAAAAAAATCAGTCCACGTACCTATATATATATATATATATATATATATATATATATATATATATATATATATATATATATATATATATATATATATATATATATATATATATATATATATATATATATATATATATATATATATATATATATATGTATATATATATATATATATATATATATATATATATATATATATATATACACACACACAAATAGATAGATACAAATGTAAATCAGTATGCACCTTTTGATTCTTAATTACCCTCTGCAAAATGCCTGAGGCTTGTAACATATTTGCAAAGTAAACAGCTTACACATTGTTGTATGAATCATTAGTTGGGCTATGTGAGTGTAACACAACCCAAAGGTTCCTTAGGCAGTAAATAGTGATTATATATATATATATATATATATATATATATATATATATATATATATATATATATATATATATATATATATATATATATATATATATATATATATATATATATATATATATAATACAAATAGATAGATACGAATGTATATCAGTATGCACCTTTTGATTTTTAATTACCCGGTGCAAAATGCCTGAGGCTTGTAACATATTTGCAAAGTAAACAGCTTATTCATTGTTGTATGAATCATTAGTTGGGCTATGTTAGTGTAACTCAACCCGAAGGTTTCTTAGACAGTAAATAGTAATTGTATATATATATATATATATATATATATATATATATATATATATATATATATATATATATATATATATATATATATATATATATATATATATATATACTTTAATAAAACATTTTAATAAAACAATTACTGGCTGTTGTTTCAGAAATTACTAGATAATGGGTTACCCAAAAAACTTGTTAGTTTGCTTACATTTTGGTATAGTAATCAACAAATGTTTGTTCGATGGCAAAAAACAAAATCAAATAGTTTTAGAGTTGTCCCCACTTCTATTTAACTTTTACATACAGAATATGATTTTATTAATCTCAAAACTACGTATTGGATGTAATATAGGTGGCTTATGCTGATGATATGGTTTTAATTGCACCATCTTGGTATTCTCTTCAAAAACTAATTAGCTTTACAAATAAGGAATCTTCCTTAATTAATTAAGGAAGATTCCTTATTTGTAAAAAATTTATCTTAATCTTCCTTCCCAAAATTATGCAATCAGGCTGTAAAATTGTTTTTGTTGAATCTTTTAAATAACTTGGCCATATAATTAAAAATGACCTAACTGATGATCTTGATATAACCAAGGAGATGAAGGGTCTTTACACATGTACAAATATTTTAACTAGACACTTTCATTTATGCTCTACCAGAGTAAAGGTCAAATTGTTTAAATCATATTACATTTGTTTATATGCTGCTCCTCTGCAGCAAAATTATAATGATAAAACAATGGCACGCCTTCATTATTGCTACAACAAATGTGCTAAAATGTTTTTTGGCTACAACAAGTATGATCTCATGCTTTTAGAGTACAGATTACCATCTCTTTATACAATTATCTCGAACTACAGACATGCTTCTTGTAAAAAGTTGATGGCTTGTTTCTTAGTAAATAATTCCATGTGTTCTCTTAAAGTTAAAAAAAAATATTTTTCTTGTAAAAACTATGGACCTGGCACCTAAATTGTATCTGCCTGTTGTCTGAAATATATTTATAATAATAATAATAATAATAATAATAACAATAATAGTATATATATGTATATATATATATATATATATATATATATATATATATATATATTATATATATATATATATATATATATATATATATATATATATATATATATATATATATATATATATATATATATATATATATATATATATATATATATATATATATATTAGTAAAAAAACTCATCTAACCAGTAAGAAATCTTTTTTCTTGGTTAGATGAGTTTTTGATGTTGAAGACAAAAATTAGATAAGTGTTTTAACTATTTTATTATTGCTGTTCTTAAGAACATTGAGCACTCTCTGTACTTGCAAAATGCTCTAGAATAACCTAACATAATTTAAAAAATTAAACAATAATTATACCTGTATTTCTTTTATTTTCTCATTGTTTTTGAGTACGATATTTTACAAGATTTATTATTATTCAACTATTAATTATCAGGATACAACTGATAAATGTAAGTTGAAATAATAATTACTTTCATAAAACTACATGTGTCTCTATATCTTTCATACTTTGATTGATGAAAAACAATAAACGCTTAAATATCTTGTAACGTATGTCACCAAAATAGCAGAAAAAGAACTTAGTAACAACATATAAACTTAGTAGTTATATAAGTTAAAGCTTTTCGTACTTTTTATAAGTGGGATAAAAGTTTGTGACGCAGCAGAAATAAAACTTGGTAGTGTATGATTATCAATTTCAATCTACTATAATAAAGTCGATGATATTACTTTTGCAGTTGCGAAAGAAACCAACATATCCTGAGTTTTTTAAAAACTATGAAAATTTAAAACCATTTAAAAAATCTTTGATACAATATTTTTTTGTTATGTTTTACACTTATAAAGTTACTTTCTCACTGCTATTATAAAGTAAGATTGCATCAAGTTGTAACAATAAACATTCTAAAGTAACCAGAGTAAATATTAATTTTGACTTTCAGCAAAGTAGTTTCATATTGAACATAAGAAGATTAATAAAGGTAACAAGTTTATACAAAACAAATACAAATTATTAAACAGTCTGTTCTCCTATATTCTTTATTTCCATTCAACTCTAATTTTGTTCGTGCTTTTTTTTTTTTTTACTTTTTCAATTTTCAAACTTTCAAACATTTTAAAAATAACAATATGATTGAAATATGCAACTTTAATCTAGTCAATGTAAAAGAAGTAGTAAGTAAAGCAATAACAAATTTTCAAGCGCAATCTCTGTATTTTCAAATTCCGTACAGTTTTCTGGGGCTTTCCAATATGGCGATTTTGGCGTCAATTTTGATATTAGAGATGCGCTATCCAGTTATTATAGAGATCAGTGACAATGTCTGTATCAAATGTCCGTCTGAAATGCCTGTCAGACATTTATCAACTTTAGTATTTAACGGATTACATAATTATTTTTTAAATAAGGTTTTAGTTTTTAAAAAGACTTTAAAGACAAGTATTATTTTTTTCAATGCTAGATAAATATAAAGGCACGAACTATTTTTTTTTGAATAGAGGTCGTTTTTGAAAAAAAAAAACGTTTTGATTAGAAAATATAATAATATAATAATATTAGCAAATATTAGAAAATATCTTGCTCAATTTGTATGCTAAAACTTGCGTGAAATAAAAAGAATTTTGTAAAAATTCTTTTGATTTCACGGAAGTTTTAGCATACAAAAATGGGGGTCTATCGCACATGACAACCCTAGCCACGGACTCTGCACAAAACACTACGCAAGAGTTAAGAAATGCATGCCTCCTTTCTAACCGATGTGCATTATGTGTGATGATTATTATTATATAAATTTATGATCAGTTTGTCAGAGCATAAAAACACCGACCAGGTGTATAAAAACTCATTTAATTACGGTTTTGTTTTCTGCATTAACTGTGACGTGCTTTTATTTGTTTTACTTAAATCATGTCGTAATTAAAAAAATCAACTCGTCATATTTTGTCTTCGATTGGATAGGGCCCTGTGCATCATGTCCATAAAAATATACAGGTCTAATACGGACCTGTATATTTATGTGACAAAAATACTTATCTCGCTAAAATAAGTGCAAATATGTAGTAAAACTAAAGCCGCATTTTCTCCCAGAATATTTATATTCAAAAAATTCAAACTTTTGGTAACAAATTTCGAATTTTTATCCCTTTAAGAAACGGTTTATTAAAAATCTACATAGCTAAAGTTTGAAACTAAACAATATTAAATAAATGCAATTTAATTGCATTTTATGCATGCCGTTGTTGTAATGAGAACTTATTTTAGTATTGTAAAATACTTTAAGGAAGTGGAGGTGTAGCTAGAGCAGGAGTCGGCAAATTGTGGGCCGCGGCCCACAATTTCTTAAGTATGTATTTTGTAATGATACAATTATAATAGTAATTACAATTATTAGTTCTATAATCTAATTCTATACTATACTATATTATATAGTTAATATATTTTGTTTATAATTTATATATTGCTGTAGGCCGCAACTAAAACAATAATTTTGCAAGTGGGCTCCTATGAAAATATGGTGCCGACCACTGAGCTAGAGGTACGAACCAAAAAAAACCTTAGGCTTCTTTATAAAAAATAATGATTACATCAATGGAGTTTTCCGAAGACATGTACTACTCACCAACTTGAATGATCAACTGAAGTGGCTTGTTATTAGGTGGTTACTAAAATGTTACTATGCCGTTTAATGTTTTTTAAAATTTGTGGCTATGAAAATAGCCGTTTTAAAAATGCTTTATCTTTGGCATTGAAAGGAATCACTGTTGTCTGCGTCTTTGATAGAAATATTCGCACACTCGGAATGGTACCACTGTGGACATTTTGTACACTGCACCCAATCTTTCTTATTAACGTCAGTATTACGGCAAATCTATAATGATAAAAAGCTAAGATTATTCTGTAGTATATCTCAGTAACATATCTGTAGACATACACTATACACCTATAAGAACATAGATATCTAGTTCTTAAAATATGGATAAACCTAAATTTGAATGCAACTCCGAAAACCAAGGGTTAGTACATTTACAGAAGGTTAGATTATCAAAAAATATAATGAATATATTAATAGTCAACAATCTAGGCAACTGCCTAAGAGCGCTAACCAAAAAAGGGCTTGGTTTTTAGTTTTTTTATAAGTTTTTTATAAGTTGTAGATTTAAGTATAGATATGTATTTTTTTAATTTTATTACAAACTTTCAGTTTAGGAACAAGGGAAGGCGATACTGGCTACATTAACCCCCATTACTTCCGTTTCCACCCCCACTCCTCACATTCTTGACCTTCCTACGCTTATATATATATATATATATATATATATATATATATATATATATATATATATATATAATATATATATATATATATATATATATATATATATATATATATATATATATATATATATATATATATATATATATTAAAGAATATAGATATAGTTTGTTAGTTTAGAGAAAGAAAAATAATAATAAAAATAGTATTTTATTTCCATGGTAATGTTACAAATTATTTCACTTACTCTACAAACATCATACAACTTATCAAAACCAACTTCAAGGTTTTTCAAACATCCACCACATAAAGTGTCATAAATGTATTTACGGAATTGAACTTCATTAAAGGTACCAATAAGATTTTTTCCTAAAAATAACTAACTTTGTTGCGTCTATGAACAGGTGCAGACTAATTAATAGTTATGATATAAAAAAAACATTTTCATATTTTTACCCACAAAAAACAGATATTAAATAGCAAATGAAATATAATAATTTATAACTAATTTATAATACATAAACTAATTTATTATAAAGTAAAATTGTTATATTTTTGCTACTATTGACAAAAATTAATATTTATATATATATATATATATATATATATATATATATATATATATATATATATATATATATATATATATATATATATATATATATATATATATATATATATATATATATAATGATCAAGTCAACCTGCTTTTGATAGCATGTTATCCAGTACAACCTGCTAAATATGGGGGAGGTGAGAGGCTAGTTAGTAGTTAGCTATGGTAAAAGCAACTTACCTAGGAGAAGGAAAACTAAGACATAAAACCCCTTTTAAAACGTATAAAAATATTTGTAATACTTTTTTTTATAAATATTTGTAATAGTTGATTTGATAACTTTCTAAATATGTAAAATATTATTGAATATTATTCAAGATGATAACACCAGGAATTAAACTATATTTTACATTATAAATTTAAGATAGGAAATGAATGATTTCCTGACAAGGGAATCCTTAGGAATAAAAAAAAAATAACTGATTGATATGTCACAGACATATGCAACATTATAAACTCTACCTTCACATAACTGTAATGCATAGTAGCATACATAAACACCACAGTTGTACCCATCCTTTTGTAAACAATGACTTTGTGTTGAAATAACATTAGGGTTTAATATGTTGAATTTACGCTTATAAATTTCTTTGGCAACTGCAATTGACTTCTTATGCGAAATATTATTTAACAAAACATTTGAAGCTAGTGGATCGAGAACATTTATTTCTTCTGTTTTCACTTTCAGATGTATCAAAATCCAATGCGAATTAGTTGGATTAAAGGGAATAAAGACTTGATCTATATTTTCAGTGTCAACATCTTTCCATAAAAGCTTTATACTTCGTGAATAGCTTAATGCTAAAGCTTCTGTTGGTCCGCAATATTTCATAAAAGGAAACCTTTTTTCTAAACAATGCAGAAAGCTTCCAATGACCTCATCTTGAAGCCAGCCTTTTTGAAATTGAATTTTTTTTTTTTTGATTTTTTGCAATAAGTCTGAAGAAATTATGTTTTCAAGTGTCAAGAGAGAAATAAAAGAAAGTTGGTGAGGACCATCTCTAAAAATATTTAGATATTTAAATGATATTTAAAGATAAAAAAAAGAAAATTGCTTATTCTCATTTCCTAATTATCGATTTTTTACATCTAAGTTAGAATACATTTGGTATTTTGTATCATGTTACCATTATACTATTATCTTTTAGTCATATATTCATTAAATGTTAAAAAATTACCATTAAAAACAAAAATAAATAGAATAAAATAAACTATGAATCATAGAACATGGACATAAAGCATCCTTGCAGGAGCAATTACCTAACAAGAGTACTATTAAAGTCACTAGTTTTAATGTCATCACATATTATTGTAATTTCTTCATTATGTGTTATATCAATGTTTTTCTGACACATTTTTCTAACTATTTCCTCTTTTTGGTGTTGTTCAGGATATTGGTATGGTCTTATTTTCCTTTTCCTCTTATCTTTTTTTGTTTTTCTGAACTTATTAGGCCGCCATTGCGTATCTAACTTCTTATTTGGTGCAAAATTCAAGTGTTGATTTTGCAATGTTGCCTTTATAGGTACGTCAATTGAGTTTATGCCTTTAATAGCTTTAGCTTGTCTAATCATATCTTCTAATTGTCTGTTTATAGATAGAAGTTGAAGACTTATTATCTTGGGATCAGTTACTAATAAACATAATTCATCAACATTTTTTTTAAACCTCTCTGCCTCATTTTTAAATATTTGTGGTTTTTTCCATCGCCTGAACATCTTCTGAAACAACAGCTAACAATGGTTCTTTTATGTTTATTTTTTTAACTTTCAGAAGAAATGATTGGAGCTTGTGAATATGTTTACAAAGGTTAACATTGTCATTGCAATTACACTTGTATAAATGCTCACACAAGCCAATACAGGCCGGATTTATACAAGTGTGAACATGAACTTTCTTTACAGGTATCTTGTAAAATGTCAACTTTATACATTATATCTTTTGATTGGCTTTTTACAGTGTACTTAGTTGATGAACATTTAAGAACACAGTCATCAGAAATCAACATTCCTTTTTCATGACGTTTTTTAAACTTTTTAGGAAGAGATATAGTTCCTAGATAAATGTTGTCTCTTTTGTGTCTCCAATAATCATCTTCCTCGATTTTCAAAAGTATTTTGATCAGATCATCTAACCTTTTATTGGGTCGCCTATCCATATAAACTGTCTTCAATTTATTATGGAAGGATTCAAGCAACATATTTGTGTCAGTATCTGCATGCTGAAAGTTCCGATAACAAGAAGCCCACTTTTCATGTCGAGAAGCATAGTATGTTAGAAAGTAATTTACAAAATTAGGACATATCTTTTCATATGTCTTGACAAAACCATTCATAATTGACGTAAAAATCTTTGGATCTTTTTCATCTATCATTGTCTCTAGGATCTGGTAAATTTCTTCTTGTAAATGAGCAGTACCAACTAAAGGAAGTTTACCACGCCACGCACGCTTTACATGCCATTTGCATAGCAAGTGATGCGTATCTCCAAAGACTTTAGAAAAAGCATTCCAGCTTGAGCAATCATTATCTGTCATAACAGCATTAACTTTGACTGGATTGGTACATCGCTTCTTTATTTCCTCCAAAAATGGAGTTATAGTTAGTTCATCTGAATGATTGGAAATAAAAAAAGCTACTGGATAGCCTCTTTTAAATTCATCGCGGACAAGCAAAGTTACCAGTGGAAAAGCATACTGATTAGTGCTATGCGTAGAATCAATACAAACAATTTGTGACCCATGCTTTTCAAACATTGCCAGTTGCTGCTTAGTTTGTATAGCAATAACAAATAAATCCTTGTTGATATCAATATCATCATACACTTTAGGCCCAATAATAGCAGGTTGTCCTTGTGGTTTATATACAAGAATGCTATTGAACTCTTCACACATTAATTTCTGAACAAGTAAATAAGTTGAAGTGCTATCATCTGGGTGAAGCTGACATTCCTTTTTAATGACCCGGTTAATATCAGAAATGTTTTTTTTTTGTAAGAAGATTGGATTTAGTGAGAACAACATTATCTCCATTAACCCTATTTTCTCGTTCTCCCAAACTCTCCCTAAGATCATGATATACCTGATTTACAGGTACACCAATGGATAATTTAGCAGAAATGCTACTTTTCAGATTATCTGGGATTGGCTGGTACATAGTATTAGTAACAGAAATAATATGATTATGTGTTTTTATGTAACACACATTTGTGGTTCCATTTGTCTTTATGTTAACGATCATTCTAGCAGGACAGAAAGCATCTGATTTCACACTACCTCTGAAGTATCTTTTATTTGTTTTTCTTGGAGGTTCTATTGCAGAGCGATCTGGCTTTGAATGACCATCAACTTGACAAATAAAGTAACTTGTTTTTGTCTCTTTGCTGCTTTGTTTACTTCCTGTTTGTTTACTGAAAAATACATAATTATTATTTTCCTCTTTTTCTTTCCATGTTAAAAACTCTAACTCTGAGGAAAACTCATAGGTTTCTGTAGAAAACTCACCCTTATGATACTCTTCTATATGCTTAATCAATTTTATTTTTTGGAAAAAAACTTGACTGCAGTTTTGATAATAACAAGGAGTTCTTTTCCCTCTACACTGCTTGTCAGCAAATATGACCTTATGCATCAGCAATGTATGCCTTTTTAAACTATCTTTTCTTGAAAATGATCTCATACAAGTGGAGCATGTGAAACTAAAAATCAAAATTTTCGTTAAACTAAATTGAAAGTAGTTATATTTAAGATATTTGAAAAATAATTCCCCTAGGTGTTTTCATAGGGCACAACTGAGCATCAGATAAAATAGTTAAGGGATTGAAGGAAGATGCTGTACAAAAAATAAGTGCAAATTAAACATTAAGTTTTTTAGAAAAAAACATTAAAGCATACAATTAATTTAAAAAACTAATGAAATCTTTGACAAAATAAAGTAAATTAAAAATAAAGTATTATTAAAAATAATATATTATAATAATATATATTAAAAGGAAACTAACTTATCCAAATCAAATTATCACGAAAAGAGTTACTCTTTTAAAAGAAACTTTGTTTAAGAGTATAATTACTCATATGAAAAATTGTGCTTATACACTAGCACAATATAGAAACAAAAGACTTGCTTGTGAACAAAAAAATATAAATAAAAGGAGACTTAAACATTTTGAAAAAGTTTACAAATAGAAGACTTTCCCAAAAAAACAACATATTTTTCAATGGAGATAGAATTGCAAATTAAAAATAATTAAAAAAAAAGAAGCAAAATAGGAAAACACTAACAATAGAAAATAATAAGACCTTTTTGAAAAAATCTTGTAAGGAAGACTTTCTCTTAACTCACAAAGGGAAAACTGCGTTTCATTATAGGGAGGCTTACACATTTGAAAAAACTTCAGAAATAAACGATATCATCTCACATAAAATAATTTCATTAAGGGGAGACTTACACACTAAAAAAAAATTCTCACAACAAATAGTTTAATGAGAGGGAGAATTACACACTTCAGAAAAATTCACAAAGGGAAAATTGTGACTCATGAAGTAATAATTTCATTCAGGGGAGACTTACACACTTAAAAAAACTTTACTGAGGGAAAAATTTGTTTCACAAGTAACAATTTCATTATAGGGAGACTTACACATTTGAAAAAACTTCAGAAATAAACGATATCATCTCACATGAAATAATTTCATTAAGGGGAGACTTACACACTTAAAAAAACTTCTCACAACAAATAATTAAATGAGGGGGAGAATTACACACTTCAAAAAACTTCACAAAAGGAAAATTGTGACACATGAAGTAATAATTTCATTCAGGGGAGACTTACACACTTAAAAAAACTTTACTGAGGGAAAAATTTGTTTCACAAGTAACAATTTCATTATAGGGAGACTTACACATTTGAAAAAACTTCAGAAATAAACGATATCATCTCACATGAAATAATTTCATTAAGGGGAGACTTACACACTTAAAAAAACTTCTCACAACAAATAATTAAATGAGGGAGAGAATTACACACTTCAAAAAACTTCACAAAGTGTATATTTTGTTTCACAAGTAAAAATTTAATTATAGGGAGACTTACACATTCAAAAAAACATTAGACATTTGTGTTCTAACACTGTTAGAAAATGGACATGTTAGTAACAGGTTCATTTTTTTTTTTCTAATTGATTCAAAAGTTTTTAAATCAAATATTTTCATTCGTTTCGTTCATTGTTAAACTCACAAAAGAGCAAAACCTATTTTATAAATAAGCTTAAAAAATAACCTGGTGAAAGTTTTAACTTTTCCATTTCTTTTTCTGCATAAGAAGCATTTAAAGACATTTTTTACACAGATTTTAGTTTTAAGCGTGAAAATAATTTTGCGCAATTTTTAGGCGGGTCAATCATACGGGCTTAAATTGTTTGCGTGTGTAATTCTCCCCTACGTAAAATTCGAGATTTACTTGGTCGGCAATTTTTAAAGCCGATTTACACTGAAAGTATTTGTTTTTTTACAGACAGCACTAATGGTTGTTTATGTCGATTCGAAATTTTTAAGGGAGAAAAAGACCCAGATGTAGCAGCCATTGCCTATGGTATGACTTATAGTTTAGTTTTTCGTCTTTTGCGCCAAACTAATTTCCTCCACCATAGTCATTGCTAAGGTATTGACAGTTATTATACTTCTCCTCAACTGTTATTAGATCTATATGCTCATCAGACCACTGCAACAGGCCCAGTGAGAGTCAACAGGAAAGGCCTGCCAGAAACCTGCACTAAATCAAAGTTAAAAAATAAGGAGGTTTGCCAATATAGAAAAGGCCCTTTGTTGTGTGTGGCATACCAAGATGGTAAAAAAAAAGCTTATATTACTATCTACTGTTGCCAAAGCAGGTTTTACTGAAATGCGTAACAGAAGAGGAAACATAGTTATGAAACCAAATGCTGTTGCCCTTTACAATAAAACCATGTGGGTGTAGATTTGGGTGATGCACAGCTCTATGTGAACTTGTCTGAGCGTAAAACAATAAAGTGGACAACTAAAGTTGCTTTTTCTTTATTTGGTAGGGCAATTTTAAATAGCTATTTATTGTATAAGCTCAATACAAATGAACAAAAGCTAATGTCAAGGATAGATTCTATGATGGCTATAGTGGAAAGTTTAGTCGGAGGTTATTTTTCAGTGATAGTAATTTCTAAAAGACGAACATCAAGAGAGATTGAAGTGGCTAGAAGTACAATTGTCCCATACCCACTTCCCCAACATACTGCAAGTAGCAATCCATTACATGGTCACAATCTTGTAAAGGTTGGTGCAGGAAAAAAAAAATGTGTAGCTGGGCACCTAACTCGAGTCCGCACAAGTTGGCAGTGTCAGTTATGTGGTGTTGGACTGTGTCCAGCCTGTTTTTCTAATTATCACACAACAGTTGTGCATTAAAATCATTAAACTGTTATATAACCTACATAAAAAAAAAAAGTTTAAAAATAGTTGTTTTCCTGTTTGTTTTTTTGTTATGTTTGTTGCCGATTTTTTTTTTAGTCGAATTTTTCTTAACGACGTTCAAATTTTATTGAGCGCTCAAAGGGTTAAATTATATAGTTGTTTTAGAAAGTATAAAAACTTTTAATAAAAAAAATACTGACCTGAACATTTTCACAATTTAAATCTATATTTGTGTCAGTGACAACTGATTCCTAAAGTATAAAATACAAATATTTTCAGTAATTAAGTTGTTATTAAAGCTATTTATGATATTTCTAATGATATATTTTTGTATGTAGTTTTATATTAAATTATTTATAAAATTATTATATGAGAGCCACAGTTATTTCATAAACTTGGTTTTGCATAAAGTTTTTTTCTCTAAATATAATATCACTATAATGTTTGTGTGTGTGTGTGTGTGTGTGCAGATTTACAACCATAATTTCTTGTGAGGCTTAAAGAGTATTTTTTGTTTTTGAAATATATAGTAGTAGTTTAATTAAATTTATTTAATTGTGATTATGACAATACAGGCGCGGATCCAGGAATTTGTAACTGTGTGGCCAAGTCCGGGTTCGCGGATGGCGCGAACAGCTAATTTTTTTTTTTATTGAGTGATTAGGGGGGGGGGGGGGGGGGAAGTGCCATAAACGACAACAAAAAAAAAAAGTTAAAATTTAAATTTTTTCCATTTGCCGACATTAAAATGTCAAAATTTGCCAACTATATTTAAAATTGCGAAATACAATTCGATATTGGCCAGTGGAGGAAGATGGGATGACATCACCCTATTCCCTTCTCCCATTTTAAGATAAATTTCTTTACTTTTGTTTTTTTCTAATGGAAGGACCGATGAAGTAATCCCACGGATTCATTATGTATCATTTTTTAAAACTTTAATACGTAGGGAGACTAACCTACTTTACTTAACTACTCTAGATTTAATAATCTGAGAGCGCCATTATTACAATAAGTATAATAGTTTTCACGCTTGAGACTAAAAACTTTGCTGTTCTGTTGTAGACGAAATGAGCGACGAATTCGTCTTCGACGAATTTTTATATAAAGAATCTAATAAAATTAATAAGAGATCATTCATATTATATACATAGACTTACAAAAATTTTATCATATTTTATTCTTATTCAGTAGAAATAGCTTTCTGTATGAATAAAAAAAACACTTAATTTTGATATTTCTCGTTAGAAATAAACTCTCTAAACAATTGTGTAATTCAAAAACGCATACATTTTTAAAATTATTAATTATTACATAAAATATTAAAATGCATTATAGGTAAAAAAATGTTATATATGAGGAGTCGACTTGTATATCAGATATTTCACTTTTTACTTGTAATTGAAATCTATTTACTTCGTGTTTGTTTGACAATATTCTGCTAATGCAAAGTTATTCTAAACAATCGAGTCAATCGTGGTAAAGTTTATTTTGTATTGTTTTTAGTTATCCATTTAATAATAAAGTTATTCAAAATATTGCCTTGGCTATTTAGTTCATAGATTAGACATAGTACTTGTCTAAATCACTTAACGAAGTGCACCAACGAGAAGGTAAGCCATAGGACTTTGCACTCCATCAGTAAACTGTCGTGTTGCCTAAGGTTAGCCCACTATTTCTGGATTATTTTTTTTTGTGATAGGCAGTTATGTACAAATATTTTTAAAACATTAAAAAAAAAATTTTTACTTTTTTTAAATAAATTTTAATAAATAAATAAACAAGACAAAATATAATACAACAAATAAAGCAACAATCAAAAAAGTAACAACCTAAATCACATGAAAACACTTTCAACATTAGGAATTAAAAGAAATAGCAAATGAAGTATGAGTTTCACAGTTTATATAAAACAATGAATAGTAATAATTAGCTAATAAAAAATGATTTTCACAGTTTACATGTTTAAAACAATGACTAGAAATATTTTGCTATTGAGAAATTATTTACATTTACGTGATACTTTTAAAACAGTACTTAAATTTTTTACTCAGAAATTCAAAATTTTTATTTGAATAAAAACTTTAATTTTTTGTCTCCTTTGGATGCAAATATTTCAATAACATTAAATAGACATTAAAGTAAGTCCATTCAATCTATTTTCTGACATCTTACTCTCGTGTAAGTTTTTATTCTCCTAAGAGTAGATATTGACCTTTCACACTAACAAGTTGTGATTGGTATTGTAGCAAGTATATGAAATGCCTCTAAAATGTTTGGAAAGCCTCTCATATCCCTAAACTTAAATGTATCTGAAATAGTAGATGGTAATTCTGTCTTTTCATTCCAAAATTTCCGCCCATAACTCTAATTCAGCATTAATTGATGAGAAATGAGGAAGATCAGATTTACAAAAATTCAAAAATGTCAGGAACTTTTCTTTCCATGGACAATATCTAAAAATTTACTTTATTAAACTAGCAGGAATAGCACAAAGACCATTATAAACAATTAAGCTCTCAATATCAAACCAATTTTATTTATATATATAGTTCATTAAGAAGATGATTAAGAAGAGGCAATGTAATAGGAGCTTTAAACTATCAGATACAGTATCACATATTTAATTATCTATATGCTTTTGAACACCACATGCTCTAGGTTTTTTTCCATCAATATCAAATGTTTTAGCCAATGCAAGAGCAATTTTATACCATTTGTTATGGTAAGCATCAGCATTTCTTCTTATTTCTTTTAAACGATTAGTCTAATTTTGAATTTCATTCAGTTGCTGGGAAATATCAAAAGATTTATTTTCAAGGGTGACACTGAAGCCTAGTGTGCAATAATGGAGAAGTACTTACTTTTTTTAATATCATTTAATAGAATTTCTTCAATTGCATTTCCACAACACTTAATTAACTCGTTTTGAATGATCTTTGAAATGTATGTAGAATTTTTGGGAGCAGAGAGAAGATTCCTTTAGAATTAAATCACTTGCATCAACTCTAAAGTTTAAAAGCTCAATAAAATTACCCATCCCTGTAATATTTGAAGTTTCTCCAATTTCTCCTTGATATTTTCTATCGTCTCTATGACCTTGTAGAGGTATATCATTTCGACCTAAAAATAATATAGTCTTAACAATTGATTCAAGCTTTTTTTTTGTTTTCTTCTATATGCTACTTCCTAGAAATATCTTGAAAAACTTCAATAGGAAAAGTGTTAATTTTAGTTCTAGATAAAAGCATATTATAACAATGTATGGATTGATATGTAATCTGTCAACATTTTTCTCATGATCATTTAAATCTTTTATAGCATTACGTCAGGTATTGAATGGTTTTTTAAACAATTTACATAATGCATATTTGTTTGGTATGTTTGTACCAAAAAGTGTATATGGAAGACAATATGCACCATCTTCAATTTTAGAGTAAAATTTTAAAGTAAGCAAAAAAAAGTCAACTAATCCTTTTAGCAGAAAATGTCTTTTTCTGCTTTTACCTGTTAAAGGGAATTAGAAGCATTTATCTGGAACTTAGATTATTTATTAGAGATAACATTTCATTATCATTTGTTCCTGATTTTAATTTTTCACCACACAGATGATATGATGACTTAAAAATTTATATTTTTTGATCCTGAGTAAATTTGAATCACTTATAACAACAGCTGGTCATTTTTTGGGAAGATATTTAACCAGTGCCACAAAATAATTTGGCTTAAAGCATAAAACACTTTTATTTTTTGTTTTATCTAAATTGCACAACAAAATATTAATTGGACAATTTAATTTTTGGATGCAAGGCTTTATAAGGGTATTAAAAAATTATGATTTACGATTACTTTTTGAAACCAATATCAGCATAGATAGGTTTAATAGGTTGCTTTATAACATTATATAATGCTATTAGGCAAAGGAAAGATGACATTCAGAAATATTTTTATCGTTAATTGTTGAAAAACTGTCAGTGTATTTAAACGAAACAGCAATAAAAAGCAAGTTTAGAAAGCTGAGAATTCTAAATCTATGTTGAAAAAAATAATCATACTATGTGTAAAAATTTATGCTTTCAAATAATTCAATTAATGTCAGTAATCTTAGAATTTTTGAAGTATGTTTACTGTCATTTAAAATCAAAGATATTGAGCTATAAAGACAATTTACATGTTTAGTAGACCTGAGAGAAATAGTAAAATATATTCAAATTGAATAACAAGTATAATATACTAAAGTGTAGTATTAATAACAAAACAAAAATAGATTAACTATTATATTTTTTTTTATTAATATAACATTTTAGTAAATACCATAATTTCTCATTAAAAAACTAAATTACTTTTATAGTTTATTTGTGTGTTTAATAATTCAATTTCATACACATTATCAAGAATATAAATCTGTAGTAAAATGTGTTAATAATTAGTTAAACACCAATAAATAAAGTTAAAATCCAACATAGATGTAGGTCCATTTTGCAATATTATTTTTTAAAACAAACAAAAAATACCTTAATGCTGTATAACCAAGAGTTCTTTTAGTTAAGGGTACAAAATCCATCATATCTGTGTTAAATTGGTAAGAATCCTGTATTCTTGGAAACATTAAATTTAATTCCGAAAGCTCTTTAAATTAAAGAGCTTTCGGAATTAAACTAGACTCATTAAAGTTTAATGAGTCTAGTTTTGTAATTTTAGACTTATCATAGGCAAAAAGCATGTTTTGTTTCTATTGCATAAGCAACTAATTCTATATTTAAATAAGGATTCATGTTTTATAATATTTAAATAATCAAGTAATTAAATAATCACGTTATCTTAATTGGT